CTCAGACCCATAGGTTCCCAGACGAGCGAATATGTATCTCTTACTAAACTGTCTTAAGAATGCCTACAAAACAATACCAGAGGAGGCATAGACAATCAGCACCAGGTCATGTTTTGGCATGCTTAGGTGTCGCACACAATGACACAACGAACCATCTGTCTCTTGACAACATTAGACTTCTTCATGGTGCAAATGTATGCTGGAATGCCAGAGCCACAGGTACTTGACAAACCAAGTGCAGCTTCTTCTTGCTTCGGCGTAAGTCTTGTGCGGTCACCATACCATAGCTTGGGTTCCACAACTACAAAGTCAAAGGTGAGATCAGTTCTGCATGTGCATAGTCTACTGTCCTCTTGTTTCTTTATATAGATATGGAATAAATATTAAAACCAAACCTAGGTCCTTTTTTTGGAAAAAGTCTAAATTACTCCCCTGCATATGGAAGTTGTCTGGATAACCCCTACACAATTTTGTGTTCAATTTACCCCTACAAATCTTTTACTTGATCCAATCTATACCTTAATAAGATTTGTCTTTTTTGTTTCTCCCATAAAAGTTGATCTTTTAGTTCAAAAATTTTATAGGGTGATAGCAAATATCATAACTTGTGTTACAAAATACATTATAAATTTTTCATCATAATATTTTCATATAGTTTTGTATCAATAGAGTAAATTTATTACTAAGCTATCCAAAACAATGATGAAAATTTCATAATGCATTTTCTAACATAAATTATGATATTCTATCAGCCTACAAAATTTGAGCTCGAAACTCAAACTTATACATGGAGAAAAAAGAAAGAGAATTGGGTAGGTTGCACCAACTGAAACATCCGGAGAGGTAAAAAGAACACAAAATTAGTTTAGGGGTTATCCGGACAACTTTCCTGTGAGGAGTAATTCCTTTTTATATTTTCCTTCTAAACTATATGATGAAGCTGAATTAAATTCTTCAACATCAAGAAATTCACTGTCACTCTCTAAGCAAACAATTAATTATGTTCTGTTTGTTGACACCTTCATTCAGAATCAAGCTCTAATGGCCTACTGGGCTTAGCAAATTTTTGAACTACAATTGTTCAAGTGCATTTGCGCTTTACTCAATCACCATAATCATTCACCATTTCGACTCAAACCATCTCACAAAGGCATTCAATTTTGTTGACTGCAGTAAAACTGATCAGTGGTCACTTTCTCTTACTTATTTCTCCGTTACATATTGCATTCTAAATTATCATGGAGTTCAAATAATCCAGTTGTGAGTCAAGACACTAAGGGGGTGTTTGGTTGAGGAATCACCTCATCCTATATGAGGTGGTGCATGGTGCATCATGACTTCATGAGTTCATCCCATGGTTTTGGTTGAATGACCTCCATTCGTCATAGTTATACTAATTATTAGCTTATGAGGGATAAGCGGGGGAGGGGGAGTCAACCCATTCTAGTCCACAAACTAAACAAAAGGGTGAGTGAGAAGGTGATGGATCACCCCATTAGTCAAACCAAACACACCCTAAGTCTATTCTACACCCTAGGTCACCTCATTGGCTCAGACTACTTGCCCTTGGAATCTACAATAGGTCATCCTTTAACTAAAGCATTGAACTAATCAGGCAGAAAGGACTTAATAACAAAAACTGATCCACTAATTATCACTGACCTTGTGCAAAGCCAGTACTACTTTGGGCTTCCATCACTCTTCCTTTCGGTGGTGTCCGCTGATCTCCCTGACCCACAAATTTTATCAAGAGCAAAGGCTTCCATAACAGGCTACAATACAAATCTTTTTATTGACAGGAATGTAGAGAAGTACTGGCTGCACCCATCAGAAACACAAAGTCCAGAAATGGGATAAGCACCTCGGTAATTTTTCTCAGGTTCATAATCTCAGTCAGCGATACTCACGTCTAGGATTGGCACAGCTGCAGGTATGGCTTCTTCTGCTCCTGAAGCCCAACCGCCCCCTACTTCTCCATGAATACATACATAAAGTTAATTAAAAAATGGAACAAACATTAAACCTAAAGAGAGAAACTCGTAACCAAGGTTCTTATATTTCACAGTAACAGAGCATCCCTAGAGAGTAAGAGTTATTCTAGAGTGTGACATAAACATGCAATGAAGACAAAAAGGGATTCCGGGTACTTAGGTTTGGACGTTCAAGCAATCTTCCAAGTTCATAAGTGCAGCCCAGCTCAACCGCAAGGTGGTCTACAAACTAGTCACGAATAGATAATGCCCACAGCAACGTGGACAGTCACGCTTACAACAAGAAAAGGCATAGAAGAAAATAAGACTGCAACATTGGAAGGTCATCAACAATATTTTATCTCCTTTGGAATGATGAATCAAACCAATCAACTGGGAGAACAAGGCGTTCAATTTGATACACAAGAACTACCAATTAGCAACAACACCATCACCCCAGAACCCTGTTTAGAAGCCTGCTACAAAACCCACCAACAATTTGAATCACCTATTCTAACAAATCAAATCAAGAAAAGAAATCAATTTCAGAACTGTAGGTCTGTAGCAACATAAAGATGCTCCCATTGGAATATTAAAAGATACAGTCCCCAACATTCTGAATCACCTAATGCAACAAACCGACTCAAAGAAAGAAACCAATTCCAAGATTTCCATCATAACACTAAAAGGTATAGCCTAACATTTTGAGTGACCTACTGCACCAAAGTCTCCCTGGAAAGAAAATCCAAAATCTTGCTATTGCAACATTTAAGCACACAATCCTCGGCATTCGATATCACCTATTGCAAGAAAAAAAAAATTGGCACACAAGTTTTCTTTTCTCGAAAACACAGGAGAGCTGCCCATCATTATATTAAGAAGAAAGAAAGGGGCTAGAGCCCTACAACACACGCCACACACACCCCTCAACTCAGAATTACATTCGCACCAGACAGTGGCAGACCAGCAGTGCACCAGAGTGGCGACTTGGGTTGCCCTGTGCAGCCCTCACAGCATGCTGGTCTCCGTGACTGTTACCCAATCTTTTGGCCACTTTTTGGCACGCTGTCCTCCATGGCTATTCCACAATCCTTTGGCCACTATCTGGCCCTCCGGTACTGGTGAAAATGCTCAGTGCTGTACCCCTTGACCAGATCCAGACTGGGGAGGGCTGCTAGAGTTTAGAGAGAGGGAGAGAGCACGCCATTGTTCCCTGAAGCTTGCAAGGGTTCCCAACGAAGATTCTTTGCACGGGATTGAACTGCTACTGGCGGAGCTTGTCGATTTTTACGCCGGGCCACTATCACAACATATATACTGGCACTAGGTTAAGGTACCGCTCACAGAGTTTTTTTTAGAATCGCTCACACAGAGTCTAAACTGAGTCTAATACCGAAAGATAACAAAACTAGCTTATAAATAGCAGAGAACTGGTTGTATAATTGACATAGGAGCAGGAGAAAAAAAAGGATTTTAGTCCTCTTCATTGTGCAACTCTATAAAAATCGATCTAATCAAATAATCATTCAACAATTCTTATATCGGGAAGAGTTCAACATTAACATAGAACTTAGATTCAAGAACTGAGAATGGGAAAAATTACAAAGACTCAGAAATCACAACAGTTGGTAGGAGACCAGGAGAGGGAGAGCAGACGAGACACGCCTGCCGGGCGCGGAGCCGCGGACACCAGGTCGCCGGCCGGCGGTCGCAGCTCGCGCTCGCCCAGCCAATGCAGGCCGCCGGCCGCGGCCAGGCGCCGGACGACAGGAGCAGACGAGCAGGATGGCGGCCGGCGGGGACGCGGGGAGCCGCTGAGCCAGGGGCGCGGCCACGCGTGGTAGAGGACAGTGGCGGTCGGCGGGAGGGCGCCAGGGCGGACCGGTGGCTGGATAGGGTTAGCACTCGGCGCTCGCGAGTCGCGACGGAGTTCGGAGAGGAAGCGGAGCAAACGAACAGCAGCCGAGCAGCCGAACAGGGACGAGCGCTCGCGTTTTTAGGTAAAAAAATGTATAGATTTTTTGTTTAGGAAAATAGATTTTGTAGATGAGAAGAGAAATCAAACGATCTTAAAAAATGATTGATGGGTTTAAAAGGACCTTTTCAACTATGCCAGCAGCGGAGAAGAGGGTCCAAGAGATGGCCGAGTTGGGCCAAGAAAGTGAGATGGGCCGACGTTGGGTTTTGGTCCAAAATTATGCACGTGATTTGACGTTCTATTTAAAATTTCCAGTATTCAAAAACTAGGTTCGATTTCCATTCAAAACCGATCTGAGGCCTGTTCGAACACTAGGCCTGTTTTGAGTGGAAATCAATCCATTCAAAATCGATCTAAATCGAACCTAGTGTGCGGCCGCCTAACAACCGGGAATACAAAAAAGCCTGTCACGCCGTCGTCACGGCTCACGCGATCCAGGCACCGCCGAGCGAGACCACCCACACACTTGTCATCAGAAGAGGTTTGGGATCAGAACAAACAACCAGACACTAGCTGCCGGCTGCCGCTGCTGCACGACGGAGTGACGGAGGTCCTCCCAAAGTCCCGTCCCACTCGTCGGTGCTGCCGCCTGCCGGTGCCTGGCGGCGTATTCGCCCAGCTTCGATATGTCTACTGACAAGGTTCCGCCACACCACACGCGGCCATCGTCGTTTGGTACACGTACGCACGCGCGCCGGCAGGCAGGCTGCTGCCATGCCCACAAAGTCCTACTGCTTGCAGGTCCATACGGGACAAGGTGACGCCAAACGAGAGCCATGGCCAATTGGCCATGCCACTGATGCCAAGACAGACGCGTTTCACGACCAGCGCGACCCAAGCAGCAGAATTCGCATGACGAAATATCCACATCCATTTCTCTACACGAGTATACAGGTTTACAGAAGCAGATCAAGATGCGTTGCGTCGTCAACCTGAAAAACTGATGGAGGCGTAGCCTTTTGGATGCGTACTATACATACTACTGCTCTGCTCTTCCTACGACAGGGTGAGCGTCCGACGGACGATGATCCAACGAAGCAAGCTCGATCAGCTCAAGCCGCAGCCGCAGATCTCCGCGCGCAGAGGAAGAAGTTGCGAGAGCCCAGGTCCAGCACCATCTCCTCCGGCCTCAAACCTGACAGAATTCCAAAGAAAATCGACCGATCGTCAGTTGCCATACGATGCAATGAAACTCCATTCCAAAGAAACCTGACAGAATGTAGGTTGGTGCACGTACTCTCGAGCGAGTACTTGTCGAGATGCAGCTCGAAGCCGTCCGCCGCGTCGGCGGCCGTCCCGGTCTGGAGCGGCGGGCGGCGGCCCTCGCGGACGTAGGCGGCGACGGCGGCGCGCACGAGGTCGGCGACGGTGGCGTCGGCGCCCAGCACGAGGTGGACGGGCCACAGGCTGCGGTCCACCGTCACGTTCACCAGCAGCCGCGTCAGCCGCCTGTCCCTGTCCGTCGGCGCCGGGCGAAACAGCGGCGCCATGCGCTGCAGCAGCAGGCGGTGGGGCTGTGTCTCTGGCTCGCCGCCGCCTCGGTGCATCGGCGCCACCAGCGCCTGGGTGGAGCTGCTGCTGCCGGTCGGCATGGCGGGCTGCCTCGCTCTTGTAGGTGGTGTTGAGAACGCGCGGTCGATGGAGGTGAGTTCGTGCGTGCATGTGCGGCGGCGGTGTGGGTGGTGGTGGATGGAGACGGTGAGCGGGCGGGCGGGAAGATATAGGAGATACACCGAGTACTTGGTCGCCGCGGCGAGCGCGATTGTTAGGCAGGGCAGGCCACGCCTGCACCGGGTGACACTGACACGGCTAGTGTATCTGGACCACGTGTGGCTGGTTGCAGGGCATCACGTATGGCATAGCTGTGTGTTCGTGGCCAAACGAGTAATGGATTCCTACGACCACCACTGCTGCTGCATGCGCTGATGGGAAACAAGTTGACGGCCACAGAGTGCAGGCAGATAGGTGCTGTGGTGGTGCTCGATCGAGGGCCGCGCGAAGGCGAAGAGGCGAGACAGGAGTGGAGGAGTGCAGAGGTGTCGCTTCGCGGGTGGACGCGACGCGACGCGACGCGGCTCGGCACGGCGCGGCGCTGAGCCTGCTGCACGCCACGTTCCGATCCAAGACAAGACGACTACCGGCACCAGTAGCGCCGTCGTGTCCGCTGCTTTCGTCGAGTGCTAACCGGGGGAGGCGCTTGGCGCTGCCCTGCCTTCTGCCTACGTCGGCGAGTCGCGCTCGCGCGGACGACGAGACGCCGAACGGGTCTTGTCGTCTGGTCTGTCCCGTTCCGAGTCCGGAATCCTCGGCGCGGCGCGATGACCGATCCGAGTGCCTGGCCCGCCGCGCAACGGAATGGATGCCGTCGCTTTTCGTTTCCCCGTCCGGGCTCCGGCGGATTTTTCGGATCTGCCGTGGATTCAAGGTTTGGACGGGCCGGCCGGCCGCCGTCCGAATCTGGTATGACGCCAGGGCTGCTTTCGCCGAGCAGCGGAGATGGGATTGGATGGAATCCCGGTTCTGCACCGGGGCACCACAGTCCACAGTCCACGTGTGCTCGTGTAGTGTACTCCTTGGTGTTGGCCGCGCAGGGGCGAGTCGTGCACGGCATCTGCTCTGGCCAAACTCCACGGGGGCACGGGACCGAAACGGCCTGCTCGGCAGTGATTTTCTACCGGTGTTCCGGCTGCAAGCCTACAGCTGCAAGCTAGTATGCTACCTGCTATATGCTACGTTAAATTGCTATATTCGGCTCCGCACCCCGCTGCTGCAGCGCAAGCCACAGCAAAGTTGTACCGGAGCACGCTGAAATTATAGAAATTTTTAATTTTTTTAGTATACTTATTTAATACAATTTTCATAACGGTACCATATATAAACAAATGCCTTGGGTTTACAAGTTTTTTGCGTCTTCGTTGCACGATTCTATCGAGAAATCGCCTTCTCGGTACTACACTTCCTTAGTTCTGAATTACAACTTGTTTTAACTTTGTTTAAAGTACAATACCAATTAGTGCCTGAATTCTCTATGGGACATGTGCTCATAATAGAATTATTTGAACTCGTAAATATTAATATTTTAAAAAAATCGCTAACTAAGTTTGACGTGTACATAGCTGAAGCTAGATACCGTTTGAAGTACATAATTTTACTCTTTCCAAAAAAATCAACTTCTGAATTTTCTAAGTCAATTTTTTTAAGTTTAGCCAAATTTATTGAAAAAACATTGGTAGCTATAAAACAAATTAATCCCATTAGATATATCATGAAATATATCATTGTAAATAGTTTGACTAAAGACAAGTCTCGTTTACTTTGGGTTAGACATATTTTGTGCCAACTCATCAAACGGTACAATAGAGCGTTATTTTTTTGAAAAAATATTTGTGAATTCACCTTTTTTTAAAAAAGATCTGTATGAAACGAAAGTGTATTAACAAATAAAGAAATAAGAAAACTCCACGGCTCGGTTTGATCTGATCTTGTGCCGGCCCAAATGTTTGTGTATACCGGTGTTGGTTATGGGCCGAAAACCTGAAAAGTCTACAATCCCTCACCGGTCGGGCCCATATATTTTTCTTCCTTTCCCTGCTCCCCCCCTCCATTGCAACTGACCTTACCTTCTCCAACTTTACAAAGCCGGCCCAGCCCAACCCAGGTCGAAGAGGCAACACGCGCTCTGCCTCTCGAATCTCTCCGACCCCGAGGGGCACCGGTCGGTCGCCGCCGGCGCTGCGGCCGCGAGGAACTTGCGTGGTGCGACACGCCCGGCTGCTTGGGCAACTCGGCGGAGCAGGCGGGCAGGCTACCGCCGGCTGCTCTTCTAAGTTGGAACCTCTTCCGACGGGGGGTCAGGTCTCAGCTGATTGGTGATCCGGCACCGCATCGCCAGGAGGGGACAGTCAGCCATGGCAGCGAGGCAGCCGCCGCCTTCGTCCGCCTCCGCGCCCGCGGCGGGGCTCTCCATGAAGGAGTACCTCACGAGGTACCAGTCGGGCCCGGGCGCTGACGGCGACCAGAAGAAGGCGAAGAAGAAGACGAAGAAGAAGCCCAAGCCAGCCGCCGGCAGAGGCGGGGTGCTCATCGTCGACGAGGACCCCGTGTGGCAGAAGCCCGTGCAGGTGGACGAGGAGCCCGCGTCGTCAGGTGCGTTGCCCTCTTGAACCCCCGAAACCCTAAATCGTAGCGCGAGTTCTGGATGGATTGGTGGTGAGATTTCTGAATTGCGGTCGCTCTCGTGGTTGCAGGTGACGAGAAGCCTCTGGTTGACGAGGATATCGAGGTCAAGCGGATGCGTCGCCTGGAGGCAATACGCGCGGCGAGGCCATACAATGCTATTGCCGAGGACGGCAGCGGGTGGGTTACCGTGGCCGCCCCGGAGGAGCAGGGCGGTGGGTCCACCTACCAGCGCAGGAACGACACGCCGTCGCCAGAGCGGAGAGGTGCTACGAGGGAGGACCTTTCTCCTGTGCGGCGGAGGCAGCGGCGTGACACGCCCTCGCCTGTGCAGGGTGATGCTGCTGGCAAGGATTTTTCACCACCGAGGCAGAGGAGGAGGCGCCAGGACACGCCATCACCAAAGGGCAGTGGTGCAGGGGACCAGGATGATATGTCACCACCACGGAAGTCTAGGCGGAAAAAAGACCCTTCGCCGCCAAGGAAGGGTGCTCGTCATATCTCTGTGGAGCCCCAAGATACCTCGCCACCCAGGAGGCGCACGAGACATGATTCAGAGGAGCCCCAGGACATCTCGCCACCAAGGAGGTGTGTGAGACATGATTCGATGGAGTCTGAAGACATTTCTCCACCTCGGCGACGGACACGGCATGACTCAGAGGAGCCCGAAGACATCTCACCACCACGGAGGAGGAAGCACCAGGACCCTGATGATGATTTGTCACCCCCAAGAAGAAATAATTTGGGGCAAAGTCGCAAATCTGCATCAGATGAGTTATCTCCACGTAAGAAGAGAGACATTTCTCCCTCAAGGAAGAGTAAAAAGGAAGGAGCCTCAAAACAGGTGAGGAAAGCTGGACTGATGACAGCAGAGGAAGTTAAAGAGGACATAAGAAAGATTAAGGAGGCTGAGATGGTTAAGTGAGTGATAACTTCACATCTTGGAACAGAGATGCTTGCCCATTGATTTAGATTTGTAATATATTTATTTGTCATTTTGTTATTAGGTTTGCGTCACAGGATCCTTCGCTGGTTGGGAAAGGGGCAAAAGCAGTATTCAGAGATAAGGAAGGTAGGATGAATGCATTATGCACATTGTACAGCTTGCATTGGCTGTTTACCCATATAATCATTCTAGTTTCTTATGCTACCATTGTTTTGTTGTTTTCCAGGAAGACGGATAAGTGAAGAAGAAATGCGCAAGGCAAAGGAACCTGAGAAGCCAAAGGTAGATAGATATTCTTCTTGATTTTCTATTTTCTAGTCTTATGTTTCTTGTCCTCTCTCCTCTGAAATATTCTGTAGTTAGTTGAATTGCAATTCGCAAATATGGCTCAGTTTATAGATTGGAAACAACTTCTTCTGCAACTTATTTATCTTGAACCCTGACATTGTGTAAATTAGGGCATAGTTCTTGTTTTTTTTTTCCTGAAAATCAATTAATAAGTATGTCATGAAACTTCTTTCTTTCTGCCTGTGTCGTGAAGTGGAATTTTCTCTAAGCACCAAATGGTCAACTTTCATATGAGTAGGATGTACAACAATCAACAGGACACCAAATTACTGACCAATTAGCTTATTGTCAACAGCTACCCACACTTATAGTACCTATTAGTGTTAACAGTCAAAACAGATTGAAGGCTTATGACTGCAAATTTACCCTCTCTGGTACTTGTATTGTAACTATCTGTCCAAAAGCTCCTTTTAGCTAATGGCCCATGTTGTACTTATTGGCAGGAAATACATATAGAATGGGGTAAAGGGTTGGTTCAGAAACGAGAAGCTGAGGCTAGATTAAAAGAGATTGAAGCTGAGAAGAAAAAACCTTTTGCTCGAACAAGGTACTTAGGATATGGTGCCTATTTTTCTTTCCTCTATTCTTTGTCCAATTGAATGTGAATCTGCCTAACCTTCTCTTGCGTGTATTTGATGTTGAACTTTTTCTGCTTGCAGGGATGACCCTGAGCTTGACAATATGCTAAAAGAAAGAATCAGATGGGGTGATCCTATGGCTCATCTAGTCAAGGTAACTGCACTGCTGCAGTATTTGATTTTGAGTGGCTTGGTTCAATCTGTCAACACTTCGTCTATTTGTTTGTGGATAATGGCTGATATGTGTGCTAATGCATTGCAGCGGAAAGATCCAGACTTTATTTTGGAAGACTTGGGAGATGATGAAAAGATGAAAGAATCTGGCTTCATAGTACCCCAAAATGTACCTCCTCACAGCTGGCTGAAACGTGGAGTGGATGCTCCTCCAAACCGCTATGGCATAAAACCTGGTCGTCATTGGGACGGCGTGGATCGCAGTAATGGTACGTTCCTTGCAATGTCACTATCAACTTTATCTTATAGCCTCATGCAGCATGTGAGTGGCAAAAGAAAATTACTGGGGTTTGAATATCACTACCATGTG